TAAACACACACTTAATGTGCGTCTAACGAGATTCTCTGGCCGACTAATTATGGAGCCTGAGTAATGGCCTTGAACCATTGTAGGAGCCTGCACAGCCCTTTCAGGCGACACAGAGACACTCTTACCAGAATGTTCCGCAGTGTGTCTGCCCGCGCCGTGCACTGTAACGGATTTCGCCCACACCCGTTGCCTTTGTGCTTAAAAACGACTCTACTCGCCCACAATCAGAGCAGTCCCTGTATGTCTGTCCGTCATTAAAAACCTGAACATTATCCTAAGACAGTGGTCGGCAAAACAAAATACCATGTGCGGGCGCGCACGTGCAGTGCGATTGAAACTTCATGGCCCATGCGCAGAAGTCGGTATTTTGTGGAAGAGCCACACTCAAGGGGCCAAAGAGCCGCGTTTGGCTCGCGAGCCGCAGTTTTCCGACCACTGTCCTAAGAAGTCGCCACTCCCGGCATATTCTTTATGCCTTTCTGACCCCGTGTGTGCCGCCAGTACCTCCCAGAGGTTTAGAGAAAAATGGGAAATTTCGCGAAATGGGCTTCGGATTGGAAAGGAAGCCGTAAAGCAAGACTGATTTAGTGACCGGGCAGGCGAGAGCGGACGGGTGGCAGGTCGTTAGACATAAAGTGTTGGAGAAACGTAGATTTCTCAAGGCGCAAGCTTCGCACATCAAAGCTGAGCCCAGATGTGTTTCCTGAGCCCGGGGAGTGGGCAGGGGCGTCCGTTCTCCAGAACCGAACCAGCCCGAAAAGACCAACTTTCTGCGTCCGTGGAGGCGCCACGGCTTGGGCGCCATTCCTGGGAATATCGTCCTAAGACTGGCCACGTCTCAGGGTAGCTCCTTGGATTTGCAAACCTCGGCTGGTCTGCAAGTGACGGGCGGCCTGTTCCCTGAGCCTCGTTGTAATCCCCTTATTGTCGTCTCCACTTCCGTTGGGGGCAGCCTTCCCGCTCCGCCGGGACGGGGTGGGGCGTGTGTTTATTTTTCCTGCCACCGTTTCATGAATTCGTCTGGATGCTCCAGCTCCTCCGTCGCACGGTGCCGCGGGTTTAGCGGAATCCGCATCTCAAAGCCTGTGTTGCGCACACCCCCGACCCGGGGTCAGGGAGGCGGAGGACGGACACCCCTCCGGCCACTGAGCTCCGCCGGGGCGGGTGCTCTCGGCCGCACCCCAGCTTCATGAGTAAAACCAGAGAGAGCAATGGCGGCGGGAGGGGGGACACGGAGAGGATCCCGCGGGGCAGCCACACCCCCTCGCGGTCCCGCTCCGAACGAGCCACCCACCGAGCGTGGCCCCTGTGCATGTGGGGCTCGTTTTTCACCCCCAGCTCGGTGACTGCGCCGGGGTTTCCCCATCCCAGCCCGGAAACGCGGGGACCGGAGGCGCCAACGAGGACCCACGGGCGGCGGTTGCGCTGTCAGTGTGAACGGAGTAGCATCGGGGACACGGCCACGTGCAGTGACCTGCTGCCGTGGGAAGTGGTTGAAAGGGCCTCACACGGACCCCAGGGGGTGCGGGTGAGCCCTGGCTGGTGCGCATCACGTGCTGACGTCAGAGCTGCAGGTGCCTGTAGTCAGCGCTGGGCTGGGGGTGGGGCATGTGACGTGATGACGTCAGCGCTGCAGGTGCCTGCAGTCAGCGCTGGACTGGGGGTGGGGCATGTGACGTGCTGACGTCAGAGCTGCAGGTGCCTGCAGTCAGCGCTGGGCTGGGCGTGGGGCATGTGACGTGCTGACGTCAGAGCTGCAGGTGCCTGCAGTCAGCGCTGGGCTGGGCGTGGGCAGCGACAACCCCG